CAGTAGCACAAAAGTCCCAGCTTGTAACCTGGGCCCCGGAAGGCCCAAAGTCCCAAGACTTGTCCCGAAACTTGCACCGCAGAAGCCCAGCAGTAGCGCAAAAGTCCCAGCTTGTAACCTGGGCCCCGGAAGGCCCAAAGTCCCAAGACTCGTCCCGAAACTTGCACCGCAGAAGCCCAGCAGTTGGGGCGACGACACTGGAAGTCTGATCTGCATATCGGCGACTTCCAAGGGACTGTTAATTAGAAGTGCCGGATCATCTGGAATGTTTGTTGTCGTCTCATGTTCCACAAACGCTCCTGAAACTCCAGACTTTGTCTGCAAAGATGTGTTCACTGGCATGCCGGAGTTTGGCTTGTAGCCGCCATCTTGAATGGTGATTAGAATTGTAGAAGAGTTCTTCTGAGACTCGAAATTTGGGCTGAGAATAGACATTTTGTGGCAGTAGCTTCAAGCAGAGCTATATTAGCAAACCGAATCTTATTATTGTGTAGAGTTTTCTCGACGAACTTTAAGGTGCTAGACAAGGAGTCACCACTATTCCTAAGTTTTGTTGCATTTATTAACATTCAGTAATGCATCAAAAGTTGAAACAATTAGAAATCTCACAAATAGTCATCAATCAGAGATGAAGTAAATTGTATTAATTTATTGTATCACATCACGACACTTCATTTTTTCGGTCATTGTATATCTAATTCATTTTGAAATCAATACGAACCACAAACAATCAGGAGTAGAATAATAAACATAAATGTTCCCGCCTGATTTAAACATTTTTTACCGAACTACAGCCATAGAAATATTCTTTCATTTTTACCTGAAAGGTAAAATCTGTACTCTTTACCTACACTTACCCTGGGATAGAGTAAGTGGCCCTGGGGAGGGTTATTCTTAACCATTCCCTTTACTCTGGACCTCCGTACCCTCTGAACTGACATGGCCTCCGTACCCTCTGAACTGACATACCTATCTTATTCTCAGACATGACATGATTCGTCTCTTACCATCTGACCTGACATGACCCTCTGACCTGACATGACCCTCTGACCTGACATGACCCTCTGACCTGACATGACCCTCTGACCTGACATGACCCTCTGACATGATATGACCCTCTGACCTGACATGACCCTCTGACCTAACATGACCCTCTGACTTGACATGACCCTCTAACCTGACATGACCCTCTGACCTGTCATGACCCTCTGACCTGACATGCCCCTCTGACCTGACATGACCCTCTGACCTGACATTACCCTCTGACCTGTCCCTCTGACCTGACATGACCCTCTGACCTGACATGACCCTCTGACCTGACGTTCTGACCTGACATAACCCTCTAACAAGACCCTCTGACCTGACATACCCCACTGACCTGACATGACCCTCTGACCAGACATGGTCCTCTGACCTGACATGACCCTCTGACTTGACATGACCCTCTGACCTGATATGACCCTCTGACCTGACATGACCCTCTGACCTGTCATGACCCTCTGATCTGACATGACCCTCTGACCTGACATGACCCTCTGACCTGACATGACCCTCTGACCTGACATGACCCTCTGACCTGACATAACCCTCTAACAAGACCCTCTGACCTGACATACCCCACTGACCTGACATGACCCTCTGACCTGACATGACCCTCTGACCTGACATGACCCTCTGACCTGATATGACCCTCTGACCTGACATTACCCTCGGACCAGAGATGCACCCTCCAAGCGTGACTAAAGCCTCCATGCAAGACGCAATCACGGCTGCAATGAACTATGCAATAACGTCGAGGTTCGCGCAATAAAGGCAATATGCGTTGCTCCGCAGAGTCGTTCACTTTAAAGCAGCATTCAGTGCTTACGACAAACTTAACCTACTGAATGAACGAAACATATTGTACGTAATTGTGTGGTTACTTAATCTTATGTCAATAATAATGTCTTCTTTGTAACGTCGTAGAAAATTTATCCAAATCAGTGACATGATAAGACAACCAAAGTTGACGCTGTTCACACTAATTTTTTTGTACATTAATTTTCATACCAGAAGGGTTAAGGCAAAAACTAAGCGTTTTTGTTATCCGAAGTCTTTTTCTTAGAACGCAATTTGCATCTCAGTAACTAACTTAAACTTTCCGTAGTGCCGATAATGAGCTAACTTAACGGTAAAGTTCATTCTTCTTCTATTACAATTCGTAATGCATTTATATAAGGAATTTCATTTACATCAGTCATCAATTTCATTTTAAAGTTATATATTACAGAAATGAATATGCGCTTGACACGATAAATAAGAACTTAGAATGATTAGATGCTAATATTTAGACAAAAATGCGCGTTAGTCGTGCCAATCTATGCGCAAATGCAATAAATTAAGCCCAAATTATATGCTAGAATTATATTCAGTATCTAACTTCAATTTCTTTTTCTACGTCGAAATACTAATTGATGTATCCGTTTATATTAATAATTTTAGTGAGGTAAAGCGGGTATTTGTCATCACATTAGTGAAGTGATGTACAGGAGTTGCAGCAATATAAAGTAAAGCGCAGCTGCAACAACAACAGATGTGCACACAGCAGCTGTGCAAAAACAACAATAAGAGCTCCTTAGCATTGTCAATATCAGCACCTCACTAGCACCGATAAGAGCCACAACAGCTCCAATAGGAGCACTGCAGCCGTAAAAATAAGAGCACTGCAGCTGTACAAATAAGAGCACTGCAGCTGTACAAATAAGAGCACTACAGCTGCACAAATAAGAGCACTACAGCTGTACAAATAAGAGCACTGCAGCTGTACAAATAAGAACACTGCAGCTGTAGAAATAAGAGCACTACAGCTGTACAAATAAGAGCACTGCAGCTGTACAAATAAGAGCACTACAGCTGCACTACTCACTGCTCAGCTGCAGCACTCACTGCTCAGCTGCAGCACTCACTGCTCAGCTGCAGCACTCACTGCTCAGCTGCAGCACCTGAAGGCTGAGCTTCAATAAGCGTACATCTGGCGCTAGTTTAGAAGTCTATTAGAGGCCAATGCATGGCAGCCTTATATCGCTGCTTATCTCGGCCGTAGCGTGAGTAGCGTGAGGTGATAGTGTGAGTGAGATGATAGCGTGAGTGAGGTGATAGCGTGAGTGAGGTGATAGTGTGAGTGAGGTGATAGTGTGAGTGAGGTGATAGCGTGAGTAGCGTGAAGTGATAGCGTGAGGCTGTACGCTACTTCAGTGAGTACGCTACGTGAGTGAGGTGATAGCGTGAGTGAGGTGATAGCGTGAGGTGATAGTGTGAGTGAGGTGATAGCGTGAGTGAGGTGATAGCGTGAGCTGATAGCGTGAGGTGATAGCGTGAGTAAGATGATAGCGTGAGTGAGGTGATAGCGTGAGTGAGGTGATAGTGTGAGTGAGGTGATAGCGTGTGTGAGGTGATAGTGTGAGTGAAGTGCTAGCGTGAGGTGATAGAGTGAGTGAGATGATAGCGTGAGTGAGGTGATAGCGTGAGTGAGGTGATAGTGTGAGTGAGGTGATAGTGTGAGTGAGGTGATAGCGTGAGGTGATAGAGTGAGTAGCGTGAAGTGATAGCGTGAGGTGATAGCGTGAGTGAGGTGATAGCGTGAGTGAAGTGATAACGTGAGTGAGGTGATAGCGTGAGTGAGGTGATAGCGTGAGGTGATAGTGTGAGTGAGGTGATAGCGTGAGTGAGGTGATAGCGTGAGTGAGGTGATAGCGTGAGCTGATAGCGTGAGGTGATAACGTGAGTAAGATGATAGCGAGTGATAGCGTGAGTGAGGTGATAGCGTGAGGTGATAGCGTGAGTAAGATGATAGCGTGAGTGAGGTGATAGCGTGAGTGAGGTGATAGTGTGAGTTACATGAGGTGTTAGCGTGAGTATCGTGAGGTGATAGCGTGAGTGAGGTGATAGTGTGAGGGAGGTGATAGCGTGAGTGAGGTGATAGTTCACATTCAGCTCCATTAATATGTATGAATAATAAAATAATTCACAGAGGTATTTTAATTTTACGTGTTATGATTAATGCTTGTATGATTTTAAAGCCTTTTGGCTCAAAATAATGTAACTTATTTGGCCACCCTAGTTTTAATTTACTTAGCTAAAGTTAATTTGTTCATTCGTATATATTTGCTGGCATCTCAATTCTTGATAGGATACATGACGACAAGTACGCGCTAGAAAAATCAATGCGTCATATTGTCCGAATATTTAAACACTTTCTTACCCACATCACGAGCAGTAAGTATGACCCACACACAAAGGCGAAACAAGTGCATCGTAATTTGGACAAAGACTTAATCATTTCTTTGAATATGTGTGCACATGCCCGAGGCTCTTAGCACTGATTCTCTTTTTTATCGGGCCAAACTGAGTCAGGATGACCCACGCACAAAGTGCTTCACAATTTGGACAAAGTCTCACTCATTTCTCTGCACGTAAGAGATGCAAGAGAACGTTCATGCAGCGCAGCGCGTAAACAAATCTATTGTTCGCTATAACGAACTCAACCAAAGCCCCGTGCGTTACTTCGTGACGCTAACGACTTAGCCTCAAGCCACGCCACGAATATTGGTAGTCTTAACTCCGGCCTGCGAATTACCGGTGGAAGGCCGCCGATAAATCACCTATATTTCACCCATGGTATAAGCCACGCCATGAATATTGGTAGTCTTAACTCCGGCCTGCGAATTACCGGTGGAAGGCCGCCGATAAATCACCTATGTTTCACCCGTGGTATAAGACGCTCGCGGCAGTTCCATTCGGTGGTGGTAGAGGCGCGGGTAAGTTAGTATTGAGTTAACTTAGCTTAGTTCGCTCATAAACTCGATCGGTTTTACATAAATGACCTCCATATGTAAGGCTCAGATTACATTGTTCTCAGGGCCGTAATGGCGCTCTTGATGCACCTTCCAGAATGTGGTATTGCTTGAATTTACCTTGGCTTTCTTCAGTGCTATTCAATATCACTTCTGATACTCATCCAGATACTCATCCAGATACTCATCCAGATACTCATCCAGATACTCATCCAGATACTCATCCAGATACTCATCCAGATACTCATCCAGACACTCATCCAGATACTCATCCAGATACCCATCCAGATACTCATCCAGATACTCATCCAGATACTCATCCAGATACTCATCCAGATATTCATCCAGATACTCATCCAGATACTCATCCAGATACTCATCCAGATACTCAACCAGATACTCATCCAGATACTCATACAGTTCGTGGATGTGCTGATAATCAAATCTTGTATACTTCAAAATATGATTGTTTAAGGTAGGATTCGATTATTTCAATTTCGTTGTGCATTTTAAGAAAAGATTCTCAAAAAATAATTTATATTTTAAGACACACGTAACACGTTTTACTAATAGTTCGTACTTCTGCACAAGATTTGATTTTTCAAATTATAATGCACATTTCGAGATATGATTGCTAAGTTATGTTGAGTATTTTACTATATTCACAATCACACTATTTAATCGGTTGAAACAGCTACATTCAAGGTCTTTTACTTTTCAAAGTAAAAATATTTGTATTCAACTGGTGAATTAAAACACTTATTTTATACAAGTATTCATAGCTTATGCAATAACAAGCTTATAGTATATGCATAAGTAAAGTTGTGTACATACATATTTATTCGAGAACTTGAATACATTTTTAAGTACAATTCATTTCCTGTCGACTGAGTGGGAAATGAAATCTTGCTTCCAAATTAATCAGTCAAAAATATTCGATATTTCAGCACACTATTTTAGTGAAAATAAAGCAAGATTACATAGCTGCAGATTGATTTTTTCTTTAATGGACAAGAGAAGTGAACTCTTAATTTATTTTGAAACCATCAAAATATGCCACACTATTGAAATAGCTCGATTTGGCATATAACATTGATAATATGTGATCATTAATCGTTTCATTTCAGGTGCAAATAGCTGCACGTATTAAAATTTTTAAAATGTTAAAAAATTCACAATTAATTTCGTTAATTGATCGAAAAATCAGGCTGAAGACAAACTGTACCACCCTCTCAGTCGAATGGTACGACAGAAGTCGCTCCTTTCGACACTTTGTCGATCTCTAATGACTCATTCACGACTAATTACAGGCTAATTAGGGAGCAGTTGAGCACCGTTGCCCCTTCATTAACGATTGGTCCATTTTTCAGGAACGGCAGCGCAACAGCTTGCTTATCAACGCGGCGTCCGAAGAAAATGTCAACGGCCCATTTTCTAATTGCGGCGCTGAGAAATGATAGGGGCAACTCATCTATTCATGCTGAAAAATTATAGGGGGTAACTCGTCTATTCAAGCTGAGAAATTATAGGGGGTAACTCATCTATTCATGCTGAGAAATGATAGGGACCAATCATCTATTCATCTCACGTGTGTAAGGCACTCGAGCAAAAGCAGATATTAAACTTTTTGGTATCATTTTTTCCGTGGGCACAATTTCTGTTCTGAAAACAAGGGAGGATAAGCTTAAAAACAAAAATGGGAGTTTACCAAGCACAAAAGCGAATGCATGGAAATCGAGGAAAAAATGTTCGTGCAAGAACATCAAAACTCTTTTAATTAATAGTCTGTTCCCATAAAACAGACTATCCTCGCATCTGACACTCATATTTCAAACGATTGTTTTAATAATGGTTTCTATCTTAGAAACAATAAGAAAATCTTTCAAATCTACCTTTAAATAAATATGTCTTCTTGCAATATTTTAAGCAATTAACCATAAGCATTTATCGATGTATCGCTCGTCTCAGGTAATTTTCAAAACGTCTTCCGCAAGAAAAAATCAAATATTTCAATGAATATTGACCCTTTCCACACAAATAAGCACGGTTTACATAAAAATTTTCTATTGATATCAAACTCGCACTCAATTACTGTTGTTCCATAGTTTGTAACCATGCACCGATGCTAGTTCAAATTATTTTACAATATGTTTACACGCGACAGAAATTAAATAAGTTTAATCATATTACTGAAGTCCGCAGACTTAATTGAGAATGTTAGAGGAATAATATTTCCGGCTTTTCTTTTCAGCAATTCGCGATGATTATTATTATGTTTGATATTAAGTTATTTTAAACTTATGGAAGCATCGTTGCTGGTGAACTGACTTTATTTGAGCTTGTTGTTGTAATGAGAGAAAGTCTTGGTTACTGGTTTGCAAAGAAATATCACTTAGAAATATATAACTTGAAAAAATTAACATTTATTAAATATCGGGCTGGACCTACATAATATATTTTATGCTGGGTTTTCATTGTCTATGATGACTCGAGACTGTCATGCCCACGACTCGAGACTGTCATGCCCACGACTCGAGACTGTCATGTGCACGACTCGAGACTGTCATGCCCACGACTCGAGACTGTTATGCCCACGACTCGAGACTGTCGTGCTCACGATTCGAGCCAATTACGACACAATTTCACAGTCAATTACAGTTTCAATATTGTATGAATTGAAATTTTTCGTTTAATCATCTTAATACATCTCAACGTATTTTCGATAGTTGACGGCCATAAATTTAGGAAATTCAAATCAACTAAACTTGATCTTAATTTTCTGGAATTGATAATTCTGATTGTGATTAGGAGACGGCAAAGCTTCTGTTATTTCCAATCAAGTTTTAATCTCGCAATGGAAGGGGCAAAAATTAAGCAAATATAGAAATAGGCCTAGTAAGAAAGCTCGAGCCATGCTGCAGTTTTCGCCAAGTGTGTCGAGAATGACCCACCTTAGAGTCAGGAGTGTCAAAACGAGTCACAAGATTGACACTTGACTTGTCCACACACGACGTAAGTTTTGCAATCCGTGCGACGGCTTGCGTGAGGCGAGTTCGTTTAGAGGCTCGTATGATTTTTGTAGCTACATCCTCATGGGGTTTGTGTGGTTATTTAAGGGGGGTTCGGGGTTCATTTAACGGGGGTTTGGGGTTGAGTGGTCACTTAACGCCCTGGTATTGCTAAGCGTTACAGCTTGAGAGGGGCTGTTAGTGTTGCCAGGCGCTACCTCATTAGAGATGTTGACTAACCTAATGTTATATTATTGTTTTTAGGAATCAATAAGAACCTAATAGAATATAGTCTGTGTGTAAAAAATTTATCCTTAGAAATATCATGTGAGTGGAAGACTTAAGAACATTCTATGTTTTTAGTTCCAATTTTATCTGAGAATTTAATTGATTTAAATTTTTAATTGAATCATTTAATTTGATAACTTGCCATGATGAAAACATTTCCTATGCTTACCACAAAAGTAAACTACATCCGTTAAACGTAATTTACAAAGTATATCATACCATACACCATTGAAAATTTGTTTTTCAACGTTGCTTAATTGAACGTAATCGTTTAAATGGTACTTCCCAGATATAATAAATCCAGATGAATGCATTTTCAACACTTGTTAGCGTGATATTTTTCAACTTTACATTTTCGAACCATGCAACTCTGAGCAAATTTTCTTAAGCAGCGTCAAGTCTGAACGTTAAATTTGTTGCAACTCTGAGCAAATTTTCTTAAGAAGCGTCAAGTCTGAACGTTAAATATGTTACCTTGTTCCTATATAAGTTGTTTTCTTTTTTAATTTTTAAAGTTGGGGGAGCGAAAGTCAGCGGACTCAGGATGAGCCGCCCGCAAAGTCGTCTCACCGGCCGCCACGCAAATGACACTGGGAAACATCGCATTTATTTCCCTTATCCCTATGAGCAAGATGGCGCGGCGGTCGCGTGGCAGCCATTAGAGTGTGCTTTACACGCTCGTTGTATCACCTTCTAATTAGACACTGCGAAAATTCAATTAAAACTCGATCAGATACACGGTGAGCAGGTAGCCTTATGGTTTCCGCTGATGAGATCCGCGGCCCATCTTTGTACGTTCCTGAGAATGACGCGGTTTGCCCTCATAAAAGAAAACGACGCGCATGATGCAGTCTGCCCTCATAACAGAAAACGATGTGCATAACAGTCTCCCCTCAAAAGAGAAAACGACGCGCATAACGCAGTCTGGCCTCATAACAGCAATTGATGTGCATAAGAGAGTCTCCCCTCATAAAAGAAAACGACGCGCATGACGCAGTTTGCCCTCATAACAGAAAATGATGTGCATAACAGAGTCTCCCCTCATAACAGAAAACGACGCGCATAACAGAGTCTGCCCTCATAACAGAAAATGAGACTCGCATAACGCAGTATGGCCTCATAACAGAAAATGATGTGCATAACAGAGTCTCCCCTCATAACAGAAAACGACGCGCATAACAGAGTCTGCCCTCATAACAGAAAATGATGTGCATAACAGAGTCTCCCCTCATAACAGAAAGCGACTCGCATAACGCAGTATGGCCTCATAACAGAAAATGATGTGCATAACAGAGTCTCCCCTCATAACAGAAAACAACGTGCATGACGCAGTCTCCCCTCGTAACAGGAAGCAACGCGCATGACGCAATATGCCCTCATAACAGAAAATGATGTACATAACAGAGTTTCTCCTCATAACAGAAAACGACTCGCATGACGCGATCTGCCTTAGCACGATATAAACTAGGAAAAATAACATTTTGATCCATGCATATTTTGAAAAAATTTTATTATCACATACTACTCCAGAAAGTCAGTCGTTCTTCTTCTGCACATTTCTGATTGAGTCAATTTTTCAATTATGTATTAACTTAAGAGACACGCGTGATATAAATTACGTCATTTATTATTTTTTTTTCAACTAACAACTTTTTATGTTTATTTCCCACAACATCATTACCTAATCAACCATTTACATCATATATAAACGTCACCAATAAATAATTTCTCGTATTGATATTACTTACTTATTCCAATTTCGACAACGTTGGAATCACTCACACACATACGCTCTGCGTATCGACACACAGAACGATCATGACCATTTGTTGAACTGTCATCATATGTATATCGAAACAAACGGAACGATCAAGATTGTTGATGTTGTTGTTGATCAAGATTATCTATGTTGGACACCTAACAATCAACATTATCGATGTTGGACACCTAACAATCAACATTATCGATGTTGGACACCTAACAATCAAGATTCTCGATGTTGGACACCTAACAATCAAGATTATCGCTGTTGGACACCTAACAATCAACATTATCGATGTTAGACACCTAACAATCAACATTATCGATGTTGGACACCTAACAATCAACATTATCGATGTTGGACACCCAACAATCAAGATTATCGATGCTGGTGCCATAATCCATCAGTCTGGCATGCCAGGAGCCGCTTCAGCAACAAACTAGCCATCAAGTCGGGCAACACGCGCGTTTGTCGTGTTTTTTGCAAAGCTTTCGCCCGAGGTTTTATTGCTCGCCGCGATTGTTTTTAGACGCGCCGCTGCAAACTGATAATTGAGGAACGTGCGGCGAATAAGCGATGAGCGGACAAAGCTTGTCTCCGCATCTCACATTTGCGGCCGGAAAACAGATAAAAATTGACGCAGAATTTCCTGAATTTTGAGTCAGTAACAGGGATACTATAACGCTGAATCTGGTATAAAAAATATAACTCAGTACTCACTGCAGTGAGTGACAGAGAGCGTATTTTCTCGTCGACGAAAACGTGGAGTCACGGACGGACAGACAGACGGACAGACATGGCGAGCACAATAGTGCATTTTTTCCATAAATGAGAAAATGCTCTAAAATGGGAGTAACAGAGATGTCATTACACCTAATCTGTCATTATTTGGAGTTTGACAGCGGGACGATTTGGAGTCTATAGGGAAGGAATGATATGGCGTCCAGTCTGTCACTTGTAATGTCAATGAAATGACGAAAAGTTGATCACTTGGAGTCTGGTGCAGCGAAGTAATGACGAAATATCGATCATTTGTAGCATGTATCAGAAGATTAATGATGGAATTTTCGATCATTTGATGTCTGGTGCCGCGAGGTAATGACGAAATATCGATCACTTGTAGCATGGATCAGAAGAGTAATGATGAAATATTGATCATTTGTAGCCTTGATCAGGGGAGTAATAATAATAGCGGTTTCAGCGTTTATTAGGCCGTAGGCCTGTCGCCGATTCTTAACATCGCAGAACATTCACAGCTTGTTGCGGTCTCGAACTCGCAACTCACTGCTACAATTCTGCTGTGCTTAACCGCCCGGCCTCCTTGCCGATTCTGGCGCACAGAGCTGGGATCGAACCCGCACCTCTCTGCGCCAATCTTGGTACTCTGAACTGTAACCAC